AAAGAAGAAAGTTCTGGGAAGGTTACGTTAAAAGCAGAGGGGAGAAAGAGGAACACGTGGCTTGATTTTGGCATTTATGACTGAGCACACCAGAAGATCAGTCGATTTGTCCTACCATCCCTTCCTTTGTCCCAGCTTCTTTTATTCTTTCTTGCCTTATTCATTTGTTTTCTTTCTTTCCAAAGCGCAGAGGCATGGGTCTGATTGGGACTATTCTATGTATGAGTACATTTATTAATCATACCACATCCTATGGAACTATATAGCCTTGTGGCTTAGGAGAAACCCAACATTAGTTGAAGTTGACAAGTAGAATGGTCATTATAAAACAGTGGAAAGCTATTTCTATGCCTTTCTCTCTTAACTTTCTGCGATAAGGTCTTATCCCTCGGCAGCCTAATGCATCCATTTACCTGTGGGGTGGTGTGAGGAAAAGACTGAGGGTAGGTTAGGACCTTCGGAGAAGAAATTCGAAGAGGAGCGCTTAAGTTCTGCTTCTGACATTCAAAATAAGATTTCACAATACACTTGAAATGCAGGCATTGTAAAGAAAGAAAGAAAGGACTTTCTCCATGCCATCCTGAGGTATGTATATGTGAAAAAGGAGAAAAGCCATTTTTTGTCATGTTGCCACAAAAGTACATTAAAAACTGTATGTACAATTATAACAATGTGCAGAACTAGCTAAGATGTAATGTTAAGTTAAAAATGGGCAGAAAATCCTATATTAAATATGATCACAATGCTGTAAAAAATTCAAACCAGTGCCAAAAAATAAAAATAACATAAAAAAAGATTGAAAGAAAATATACCTGATACTGACAATTGCCTTTGGGTAGCTGGAACACAAGTCATTTTTTCTTCTCTCCTTTCAACTTTCTATATATTTCCCAAGTTTGATATTTTCCCTACAATGAGTATGCAGTTTTTATAATATAAAGAAGTAAAATACATTTCTAATGGAAAAATGTATGATAAGTGTAAAGACAACCTAAACCACATTTTTTCTTTTTCTGCATTAGTAGATCTGAAACAAGTGCACGTTGGAGTCATCTGGAAGCTTTTAAAAACACAGATGGGACACTACTCCAGGGATGCTGGTTCAGTTGGCAGGGCCTGAGCTTAGGTAAGCCTAGTTTTAAGAAGCTGTCTAGGTGATTCTAAGGCGCCACTGGGAAGAAGACCCATTGCTGTCAAGTAAATAGAAAAACAACCTAAACTCAGTTTATTCACCAGGGTTCAATGACCATTTTCTGGGGCCCTTGTGGGTGCGTGGCACCACCCACTATTTATTAATTAGTTCCGAGCTCCAGCGTTTTCTCCCTCTGAAGAATGAAGCCTGGTTGACCCAGTTCCGTCCTTCTCCCAGGTCAGTGGTTATCAAACCTGAGTGTGCATCAGAAAAACCAAGAGGGTATGTTCAAACAGATGTTGGGCCCCATTCCCAAAGTAGATCTAGGATGGGGCTCAAGATTTTGCATTTCTATCAAATTGTCTGCTGATGCTGATGCTGTTAGTTTCAGGGACCAAACTCAGAATCATAGTCCTAGGACATCAGGAACATAAGAAAGCTTGACCACTGTTTCCCTCATGCCCTCCACTCTGGAATAAATACCTCATTCCTCAGAGCACACAGCTTTCCACTCTTGCTGTAAAATAGAGGGGGTCACAACTCAGAATTGTATACAATAGAATTATTGGAGCTGAACTAAGAGGCTTCTGTTCATATCCCAAGCCATATCACAGCTCCAGAAACTGGACTCTGGTACCTGGAGAAATTCATCTTCATCAGGGGATGAAGGAGAGAGGGACAAGTGGTGTGTGCAGCAACGTGCTACAAGCCCCAGGGAGAGGGGGAACCCTTGCCCTGTAACGTGGTCACTTTCTCCCCACCCCATCTCCCGACAACAGAAGAGTACAAAACAGGAGTNAAAAAAAAAAAAAGCTGTAGAAAGGTCCAATGAGATGAAGCTTAGAAGTGACCAGTGGGTGCAGTAACATGGAGGTCATTGGTGAGCTTGGCAAGAGCAGTTTGGGGACAGACAACATATCTGACTAGATGGATGCAAGAGAGAATGGATAATATGTGGGATGTGCTTCTACATGATCTGGGCAAATGGACTGATGGGAAGAGGAGGGTTCATCATGCTCACCTCTCTATTTTGGGGTATGTTTGAAATGTTCCATAATAAAGAAGTATAAAAGATTTTTAAAATAAGAGAATGGAAGAAGAGGAATAGGAGACTGCAGTACAGTCTTTAGAGTTCAATGTGAAGGTCAGTAGAGAACGAGGGCAGTAGCTGGAGCGGAGTATGATAACTTTAGTTATTATATAAATAACGAAAGACACACAAAGTATATTCCTAGAAAGAGTTTCAGAGGCTTCTGGGTGGAAGGAAATGGAGGAGAGGATCTGATAAGGGCGATGGACATGGGGGGACAGGCCATGCATGCACAGGAGGGCTGGATGAGGCCACAGCACAAGTTAAGATGGGGGAGATAATAAACAGTGGCCACAGCAAAGCCCCACACACACACCTAGGCAGGGTGAGGCCTCCTGGATGTCCCAGGTGACAGTGACCTAAAGGACAGATAGGGATAGAGAATGACCTTTATGTTGCTCTGATGGAGGTTTATTAACTTGAAAGCAGCCTTACATCCGCGGCCTGATGATACACCCATGATCTGGCTCCCCTGTGGCTCTGATTCTATCTCCTTCTACTCTCAGCCTCTTCTGTCCTGCTGCACTCACACTGGCTTCCTTCCTACTTCTTGACACCACAAGAAAGCTTCTGCCTCAGGGCCTGTCTATTGCCTCTGCCTGGGATGTGGGTCTCTGCTCAGTTCTTGTCTTATCTAAGAGGACATCTGTGACAAGAGTGGTCTCCTGCTACGGAATTCCCTGCCCCCTTACCTGCTTGAGGTTTTCTTCTTGCATTTATTATCAAGAACTTATTTTGTCTGCTTGCCCCAATGGAATGTGAGCTCCACAAGAACAGATTCTATTTTATTTCTGAATATTGCTTAGCACATAGTAGGCCTCATGAAATATTTGCTGAATAAATACATGAACCAAAAGACACAAATATATACATATATGTGTATATCTATACATATATTTGCATATATACACACATGCATATATATATATAGAGAGAGAGAGATAGAGAGAGAGAGAGACAGAGAGAGAGAGAGAGAATATTCTACTGATTGAACTGTTTGGTGTTTCAGGGTGGACCACCTACGAGGAGTAAGGGTCAGGTGGGAAACCACTATAGTTGAGAAGCCCTGGTAAGATTTGCTGTGCTCTGTTGGAAAGACCCAAATTCCTGGCTCTGCTCTATGGGTCGTAGGAGCATGCAGCCAGCCTCCAAAATGCCCTTCGATGATCCTTGGCACCTGATATTCTCATTCTTGTGTAGTCTTCCATTCTGAATAGGGGTGACTTGTGTAACCAACAGAATATTGTGAAAATGATGGTGTGTAACCAATAGACTTGCTCATAAAAGACATCATGGCTTCTGCCTTTGTCTTTCTTGGATCACCCACTCTGAGGAAGCCCAGCCACCATATTGTGAGGACACTCCAATAGCCATAGAGAGAACATCATAGGGAGGAACTGAGGCCCCCTGCCAACAGCCAGCACCATGTGAGGGAACCATCCTAGAAACAGGTCCTCCAGCTCCAGTCCAGCCTTCAGACGATGCAGCCCCTGCTGACATCTTGACCGTAACCTCACGAGACCCCAAGCCAGAAGCAGCTAGCTCAGCTGCTCCCGAATTTCTGACCTGCACAAACTATGTGAGACAATAAATGTTTATTATTATTTTTCAATGCTACATTTTAGAGTGATTTGTTTCACAGCAGTAGGTAATTATCATAACGTGGATGGAACAGGGGCCGGCCATGCCAGGTTTGATTTGATGTGAGTATGACTAGGTCTGTGTCTGTCCCTGGTTACCTGTGCCGCCCATTTCCCCTTCTGGTCCCAATTTGATTCTACAATTCTTGTTAGCCACAAATGTCACCTGTATCCTCAATAAACTTTATTTAGACACAAATAGACACAACAGAAAATACATACACAGATACAGATTTTCTTTGTTTTCTCTATAGGAATGAACAAACATCACATAGGGAATTTAAAAAGTAGGTGCACGGGATGTAAGAAAATATTGCAAAATTCCTTGTTCACTCACACTTAAAACAGACACATATTTCAGAGGAAGACAGGGATATACCATCCCTACAACAGAATACACAGTTGGTCTATAACAGTACACAGGTGTTAGGAAGGTAATCAAAGGAGTTAGGGAGCCAGTTACTCTTGATATGACAGAATGCTCACAACACTAGGCAGGACTCTGTTTAAACAAAAGACAGAATCGAGGATTCCATACCCCACTGCAGATGCTCTGCAAGCTGTCAGCTAGGTCATAAAGCAGCTCAGCAGAAATGCCACGTTAGCTTTCATCTTGCTGCTTGAAGGTCTGCATAACCTCTACCTTAGTGTCCACATCAGAGAGTTTCCATAGACACACTCAGGATGCTGAAACTCTCGACATGCATGCTGGCTTTGAGACCCACGGTACAGAACATTGACATCCGTTTATAAAATGTGGCTTGAAAAAAAAAAAGGAATAATAGCCAAGAGGACAACAAACACTTTGCAAATGCTGTCACATCCATTGGCAGTGTTTCCACCACGCCGCCTATGGTCCCCTCCCACAGGGAGCCATTGGCATCTGGGTCCTGCTCCACACCCTGGATGGAGCAGGATGGATGTCTCTTGGTAGTCTATTATTGCCCTCTAAAGTCACACCTGTGGCCTCCTGGTCACTCCTATCTGAGTCATGGATGTCACCAGGACAAGCTGCAACAAAACTATCCCACTTATTCCTGTCCCGGACAAGCCTCTGGCCTCCAAACCATCTTCACATTTCAGATCGGGGATCCCTAGGCAACCTCTGTATTTTAGTAAAAAATGGTTTCCACTGTACCCTTCGTGTGTCCTCTTCCTAATGTGACAAATCCAGATGAGATGAAATTATGGAGATCAGGTCCTCCACTTCGGTAAGCATCCTTCCCATAATGTCCTGCAAGAAGATGGGGCACAATTACCTGGCGCATCCACGACACCAACAAGAAGACAAACATTGCAGCTCCAGTTCACCCAACAATAGGGTTGAACTTACTTTAAAATCAGCAGCTAAGTTAGAA